CTCCCATTAGCCAAACTGTCCTAAATAGGCAGCATAAGTCTGCTGGGAACACAGAACATAAACATGTGGGATGCCAGAGCCCCAAGGAGACTGCTCACTCTCTCTCACATCCTGCACAGCCCCCTCCAGCACGAAGCAGGAGTGGAACACAATGCAGTTTTTCAAAGATGTATTTATTTGTGCATACAAGAACTGGGGTACAAGCCAGAGATGTGGGGGGTGAGAGAGGATTTAGCAGAGAGAGAGTGGGGAGCAGAACAGGCAGACTGACTGAAATACACTGCTGTGGGGAGCAGAGGGCGGGTCAGGAGAGGTCTGCCAGCCATGTGGGTCAGCTCCCTGGCGGGGGATCAAACTCATGCTGCAGGGGCTGCAGACAGACTCATAGTGCTGCATTTTAACCTACTGTGCCACCAGGGAGCGTCCTGCAAGGCAGTTTTGCCAAGCTACCCCAGGCCCTTCCCCACCATAGCAGGCAGTGAGTACCCCGCTTTGGAGAAACAAACCTCCTGGTCTATTATTAGCCAACACTTTTAGGAAGCTCATCTTGTACAGCCATGCTAAGTAGAAGCTCCTTGAAAGCAAGAACTGGCCCTCATCCTTTCAACTTTTCAGTCATAACAGCCACTCAGTGAAGAGATTTTCCTCTTACTGAAAGCATGGCATGGGCTGACTTAAGAGAGCAACATATAACAGGCTCAGTCTTGAAAATCTCCCCATATGTCAAGAGCTCAGGAGCTGGCTGGCACAAGACTCCAGGGCCCCTCCAAGACGCCGTGTTCCCTCAGGACTGATGAACTCGGCACAGTGGCGTCTCCCACCTCCCAGCAGTGCTTTTTCCCACAATCTTCCCATATTGGTTCTGCTTCCTTTTTCGGTGGTGTCTTTGGAGTGGATGAGATTTTTTTTATCTTTGCTGATTTTATATTCCCAACTGAAAGGGGAGGTCTTCTTTCCTGCTCTCCCTCCAGTTTCAGTGTTTGGCTAACAATGTGTGTGCTAGGGAGAATGTTAAAACGGGGCACTGAAGGGCCTTCCTGGTGTGGGGCCTAGGGGTTAAGTCTTAGCTATCACCGCAAAGGCCTGAGTTCGATCCCCGGCCAGGGAGCTGACCCACATGGTGCAGCAGACCTCTCCTGTCTCGCCCACTGCTCCCCTCAGCAGTGAATTTCAGTAGATCCACCTGATCTACTTCCCACTCCCTATGCTTCCTCTGGTGAATCCTCTCGCCTCCCCCACCCCTTGCCGTGGTCTTCCATTCAAAATGCCAATGGACAAAATCTGTGACAGACACATCAGGTGCTGAGCCAAATGTGAGAGCTGCCTGAGTCGTGGGTTAAGTGCCAATGTGGCCTCAAAATTGCATGCTTCATCTGCAATTTTGAGAGTTGCTCAGATATCCATATAAACTGTGTCATTCATGGCAGTGAACCGCCCCGCTGGGTCTTCACCAGCACCTTCCCCTTAGAGGGATATGGGATCATGGGATCATGGGTGCATCTGCATTCTTGCCTTCCATATTAATGTTCTGAAGCCAGAACCTAACATTCTAACCACGCCCAAGCCTATTTAAGCAAATCAATGACATTTCTAATCAGGAGCTTCTGGAGTTCAATGAAACTCCCAGAAGAATGTGCTTTAAACCTGTGGGTGCACTGCTCACACATCCCTTCTGATCCTCTGGACCCACCCCTGGGCCCCAGGACCCACCCCTGGACCCCAGGCCACACTTCCTCCACTGTGCTTCCAGCACGTCTTACCAGGTCCAACTCCCACTTTAATTATATCTGCTCCAGAAAGAATCAGTTCTTCCACCATTTCGCCTGTCACCACGTTCCCTGCCTGAGAAAGAAAGAACACGATGCTGGTCAAGAACTCTTCCTGGTGGTATGAAGATGAAGGACTAAGGAATTCACATGAACATCCAGAAAAGAATGGAGGTGTGTGTCGGGGGACAAGACAAAAATGGGCCCAATGAGTTGATTTTGAGTTTGCAATTGATGGGCCAGATAGAGAGTTTGACAGCTGAGAGTACATCTGGTAGCATGAAAAAGTATAGAACTCTGGAACTCAGGCTACAAGAGACCTGAGTCGGGCTTTTTGTCTATTTCACTGATAGACAAGACAGCATCTTAACAGAGGACCGACCAAATCATAAAATAAGCATGTTTATTTTATATTAGCAAAAGTCTTTATTGTTGAGCATAAAATGCTTTACCGATCACAAAACCCTGAAGAATTGCAATGGGGCTCAAGGTGGGTGCACTGCTCACACATCCCTTCTAGCAACATAGCCCAGGGGCTCAGTGTTAGCACACCACAGGGCACCCCACAGCTGGGGAAATTCCTGGGTGTGCCACCCTGGGGTCGGTGTCCTCATCTAGACCAGGGAGCGCACAGGAGATTATGGGTCAGAGCACTGAACAGGCTCAACACAGAATGCATTTCAGACCATGAAGCTGTAGCCCTAAGAATAAACACAGAACCAGCAAGCGGTGGAACGCAAAATCCAGAAGCCTGCATCAGGTTTAGAAACAGTGCAAGTTCCTCCCCTGCAGGCGTCTGGAGTCAAAAACTGTTCCTGTGTGACCACTCACTGCCCTGTGGATTTTTCAGCTGCCTGGTCAGATACTTGGCAAGATGCCAGACTCCATTTTCACAACTTCTCTGGGGAAGCTCAACCCACTCATCCTATTCCTTTGCACGAATCTCCAGTGTCTTTTCACCGAGTTATTTCCCAGAGGATGTTTTCTTTTTTAACCTAGATAAGTAACTGTTAGTTTCATATCAAAAGGATCTTAGGTAAGGGTGCTGAGAACGACTACTTTAACCCAAATAAGCCTCTCTAACAATGGAAAACAGCAGAAGGCCCAAAAAGAAATGCAGGATATGATAAAGGCAGTATTCCATATCAGGAAGGAAGGGGATAATATTCCCAGTGAGTGAAGGGAAAAGAGATCTTTCGGAAACTGGCTATAATTATACCTGTTATTGAAATAAACTTCATGAAGATTAAAGAATTAAACTAAAAATCAACAATAAAACTAACTTTTGTAATTTAAGAAAACCTTGAACTATAGCATAAAATAATCATATAAATATACTACATAAAAATACCACATCCGTATGATCGACAAAATTAAGGGACAGCCTGGTAGGGAAGAATACCTACATTTATTGGGGGTGGGGTGCAGCATTGAATTTTTCCAAATCTAGAAGAGAAATGGTAACACCTCACAGAACAACTCCGAAAAGAGATGAAACTGATAGAAGAAAAATGTTAACTAAAAGAAAGGAATGTGTTCAACCTAATAACCAAACTTAAATTAAGATACCAGTGAGGTATTACTTTTCACTTAACAGATTATTGTGATTGTAAACACTCTATGCTGAAGAGAAGACTCTGCCAGAGGAAATGTCAATTTTATTTTTTATTTACTTATTTTAAAGATTTTACTTATTTATGTGTATAGAACTGGGGTAAAGGTCAGAGGTGCAGGGGTAGTGAGAGGCTTCAACAGAGACAGTGGGGAGCAGAACAGGCAGACTGACGAAGTACACTGCTGAGGGGAGCAGCGGGTGGGTCAGGAGAGGTCTGCCACGCCATGTGGTCACCTCTGGGGCTGGGAATCAAACTTGCACTGAAGCGGCTGTAGCTTGCAACAGTGCTTTACCCTGTTGCACCACCAGGGAGGGCCCAGAGGAATGTCAATTTTAGCACAAGTTTTCCTAGAAAGCCATTTGTCTATATAGAGGAAATACAAATATGTACACCCTTAGAGCCCATAAGCTCACTTCTAGAATTCTCTCCCAAGGAAGAAATCTCAGATGAGGTCAAGGGCTTTAACGATCAGGATGTACTTGTGTACAACAGAGTAAAACTGCAAATATATTTTCCCAGATGGGAATGGTTCAACAAGTGATCCCCCACTCATATGAGGGTTTAAGCCCAGTGTCACTGCTGTTGCCAGAGCTTAAATGTTTTCAGTAAAATGTTAGTGGAAACAGAAGGAAATAGCCCAGCCCCAACTTCGTTTTAACAAAATACAACCCCAACTTTGTTTAACAAAACCAAGCATGTTCATATGAAAGCATTCACTAAAATGCTAACCAATGGTGTCTACATGAAAGAATTATCTGGACTGTAACCACATTAGTTTTAACTAATGGAAGAAGGTCCAACATAAACTCTGTACCTGAAAAAGAACTTCATCAGTGCCTGAGAAATAAGACTGAGCTCTTATTCCTCCTGACTGGTTGACATGCCAAAATCTAAAACTCAAGATGAAAATAATAAATGGAGGCTCTCCCTGGTGGCACAACAGGTTGGAGCACTGCACTGCAAAGCTAAGCTAAACCATGACTGCTTCAGTGTGAGTTCGATCCCTACCCCGGAGGTGACCCACCGGGCTCAGCAGACTTCTCCTGTCTCACCCGCTGCTCCCCTCAGCTGTGTACTTAGAAGATCTGCCTGTTCTGCTCCCTACTCTGTTTCTGTGAATCCTCTCGCTGCCTCTACACCTGTGGCCTATACCCCATTTCTGGATGCAGAAATAAATCTTAAAAAAAAGAAGAAGAAGAAGAACTTCAGAGAAAAAAAAAAAAGGAAAGCTTAAAGCAGTGACACTAAGTGCCCTTCACAGTTTCATTTTCATAGACAGAAGCTTCTCCCCCTATGACCATTTCATTTTCAAGGGACTACATGAGACAAAGCAAACTCACTCAACTGGCTGGTGCCTCAAGGCAGGCACATCCCAATATGTCAAAGTGAGTTCAATAGCATGGAGGAAGGTGAAGCAATTTGGGGGCACAGAGGCTTCCATGGGGTGAACCCTCCCTTCAGCAACTGTGTGCCTCCTTGACCGGAGGTTGAGCTCAGTCACCACAGAGAGGGCTGCTGTGTGGAAAAACCCCAGTGGTTATGAAATACCTCAGGCATGAGGACAAGTCAGGAATGCTGGCCACAGGCAGGGGGTGACTCTGGCTACTTGCAGGAACAAAAAGCTGTCTATTCAAGTTTGAAACCAAGAGAAACCAAAGTAAAGGGAAAAGGCAAAGACAAAGTTAGAAATGAGCATAGCAATGGGAGTGTGGTCAAGTCATGAAAGCCCTGGCCCCCAGGGCCTCCAGGCTTGGGGTGATGTTGGGGGCTGGGGGTACTGGTGTGGGGTGATTAGTGAGCAGTCGGCTTATCTAGGCCCGAGGGATCTCCTGCGTACAGCGGATACTAGACTGTCAGGCTGGGGGCACAAAGAAGCATGTCCGCTCCGCCACTGGGTTGTTCACGTACCACCTTCTGGGGCAGCTGCCCTCGTCTGGGTATCCCCTCCCCAGGGAGACTGCGACCGCCCAAGCTCCCCTCTGTGCTCGGGGTAAGGCCCACTCCTCCCCACGAAGCGAGCCAGCTGGGCAAGGCAAAAAAATAAATGAATAAAAGCCACCAAACTAAGATCCCAAGTACCCATTTTTAAGTCCTTCAGGAAAATTCCAAAACCAAAAGTGTTTACCCCAGTTTTCCCCGGTTTTCCTTTAGACTGTGACGAAAAGCATAAGAACGTTCAGGAACAACATGTGGAAAGACCTGGCGTCCAATGCTGAACCTCTGACTTACCACTTAATTTCAAACAAATCACTTAAAATCAATTCTGACTCTCCATTTAGCATGTAAAATAGGGCTCATCCACCTCTTCTGTTATTATCATTGTGAGGCTTCCAAAAAAGGTTTATTAAAGTCTCAGCACACTGCCCAGGTCTCAGACAGTGGATCAGGAAAACGTTGGCCTCCTCCACTTAAGAGTAACTTCTGTTCTTTTTTTTTTTTTCTTAGCTTTTTAAACTGTAGGCAACTGTACATAACATAAAATATGCCTTTTTTAAAAGATTTATTTATGCTTGCAGGACTGTGATACAGGCCAGAGGTATGGTGGGTGAGAGGATTCACCAGAGTGGGGAGCAGAACAGGCAGACTGTCGAAGTATACTACTGAGGGGAGCAGCGGGCGGGTCAGGAGAGGTCTGCCACGCCATGTGGGTCAGCTCCCTGGCTGGGGATCGAACTTGTGCTGCATGGCTTCAGAGACTTCCTAATGCGGTGCTTTAACCCATTGTGCCACCAGGGAGATTCCAAAATGTGCCATTTTAACTATTTTTAGGTGCATCAGTTAGTGGCCAGAGTGCCCTCTAACCAGGCAGTATGAACCAGGCTTCTGCAAAGCCCTTCCATCACCCCAAACTGCAATTTTGCACCCGTGAAACAAGAACTCTGGCTATAAGGGGATAGAACATTAATAGCAGAAAAAAATGTCCCTCCACCAACCAGTGAAACCCAACAGAAGCTGCAAAGCAATAACCACCCTTTATGGCACATTAAACTGAATTTACTATGTGACTTTCAGCAAAACAACTTGAATCTGAAACCCACTGTAATTTTCAGCTACAAGTCTGGTTCATACCAATTCCAGAAAGAAGAGAACAGGAAATACAGGTCACTAGGCCTGAGAGACTGAGGCCCTATATTTAAAAAAGGGGCTGTGAACGCCTGCCCTGGCAGGTGGGTCTGCAGTCTCATCTGAAAGATCAGCTTACCTGATCTGAAAGATCAGTCACAGACTTCCCTGCCCAGGACGGACCTCACGGAGCCACCTGCATGAAGCATCCCCAGAACCAATGGGCCCCAAGTATGAGCAGGCCTGAGGGGCAGGTGGCCAGTGTCTGAGTACTATGTACGTTTCGGGCCTGCCTCTTACTGGCTGTGTGATCTTAGGAAAGTTCCTTGATCTCTCTGAGACTAACTCTCACACCAATAACTGCAGACACTATAGCCACTCTCAAAGATTTGTTATTAAGAGAAATGTGTCATCCACGTGGGTGCCTCTTCCCACAGTACCTAGAACATACTAGAACACCTTCTCCATCCACCAGGAAATGGCCAGCAAGGCACCTTTACAGGACCCCTTCCTGCCAAAGAAGTCCCTGCCTCTTCCAGCCCTGCGTGTGGCCAGGTTTGCTCTGGTGAATCCAGGATGTGCCAGTCACTGCCAGGCCCTGCTGCAGACACCCAGCGCTGCCAGGTTGGCCAGCAGTGTCCCCAACACCCCTGGGGCTAGTGCACTGTCATGATCGCAGTCACACTCAGTAATGCACTATGTACTTTTCAGTCCCAAGGCACTGACCAAATGATAATGTCTCACAATGTCTACAAAAACTTTGAGAGAAAGAATATTTCCGAAAACCGAGTAGGTGAGAGCACTGAAGTTGCTGAATGAATCCAGGCTGCAAGGGTCAATGCAGGCAGAGGCTGACGGGAATAAACACCTACCTTTCTCAAGCCTCCTGTTTGTTGCTGGGGAAACCAACAGAAATGAGGAAAACACACCCCTGAGCCTGCAAGCTGCGGCTGGAGGGACCTTGCTGCTGGTGGCTGTCCTGAGGCCAGTGAGAACTCTGTGCCAAACTGCACCTCCCTGTGCCTCACTGCCCTGCACCCCTGTACTGGCAATGACCATGTCCTGCCAACCTGCCTCTCCTGCACTGCCTTCTCCACCCTGGTCTTTGTTCCTGCGGTGGAACACAGGTGCTCAAGCCTACACAACAGGAAGCAGGCAGGTGTCCAGGGTGCTCTGAGCTGGAACTGCAGCCAGTCATTCGAAGCACGTAACACGAACCTCTGGGCTCCACTGGACCTCTGCTGTCTTTACCCCTCGGAAAAAAGTGGGACCCGTTCCCACCGACTTCTTCAAACAAACACAACAACGCTCTAACCATGCCCACGCTCCTTCTCCTCCACCTCAATTCTCAGCACACACCCTCATCACCACCTGTGTGGGAACACCAAACCCCCCAAAACATAACCCCATCTGATTCCTGCCACACCCTCCCGTCACTTCTGGCCCCAGACTCCTTTGCACAAGGAGGTTCAGGAGGCTTGGGCCAAAATGAGCCAGCCCAGGTGACAGCTTTCATGGCCGAAGAGCAGAAAAGGGTGCACAGGGCATTTGGGAGTCGGTGTTACCATGAGCTCCAGGAAACACTGCACCCGTATCTAAAACTACATGGGTGGGCCTCAACACACTGCAGAGCAAAGGTGACGTTAAGATAAGCAGTAGAATTAGCAAGTGTATAAGGTTATTGGGCAAAATGAAATGGTGTTGGCGAGGACTGTTGGAGCAGAAGGTGAAACCAGACAGGAAGGACACGACTCCCAGAGCCAGGGGTGTAGAGGCGGCTGTAGGTAGAGGTGGCTCCTGAGAGCTGCTGATTTTATGAACTTACAAGTTAGTAAATGAATTACTAAGTGGCATAGTCAGCATAATTTCATGATTCCCAAGCTTCACAACTAACTTACACCCTAAAATGTGGGTACATGTAAAGCATAGCTCTCCCTATTTATCGGTCCCCCGAGAAGTTAAAGCAGGTAAATGGGGAAGATCTCGGATAACCCCCCTTACTCCCCCTATCTCCTGGAGTAAGCAGGCGCCCGTCACACGGTCTATCAGCATAGTGTTGTCTGCTGGGATTTGCTGTTAATGCTGTTTCTGGACGAGCCGGGCTCCCGCTCTGGCCTCACGGAGCACACTCTTCTGTTCCTGCTTTCACAAGTCCCAAGAGAAAAACTTACCTCAGAAGCCTAACTGGGGGTCTCACCCACCCATCATGGGGTCATGAGAAAGGGCAACCTCACCACCCTCCACACCTCAGAACTGGGAAGTAGGGCGCTGGTCTCACACTCATCACCTAGTGGAAAAAAGGGAACTTGCCACGGTTAACAAGGGCAGTTGGGTTATTATGTTAACAAGGGCACAGCTCGGGCTTTGCAGTCAGCCACCCTGGCCTCAAACCCAGATTTGCGGCTAATGTTGATGTGACTGTGAAAAAGCCGAGGCGTCAGAGCCAAACTTCTCACTGAGGTCAGTTTGGGACAGCAAACCTTACGCTTTACAGAGATGCTGTAAAGAGGAGAAAAGAACAGATGCAATGCCACTGGCAGCCCTGGAGGGTGAAATGAGTTCTGCTGTTTCTCACCAGCCTCTGATGCTGGTACAGCTGGCGGACCCTGCACAATTCCTAAGCCTTGCTTCTCATGTGACTGGAAAGCATGAACATACCTTTCAAAACTGTGGGAGTCCTTTACCACAAGATTTCATTTGGGAACAGAAAGACTTCCTCTCTCCCAACTCCCTTACAAGATGAAATTGAAGAGATACAAAGTTCAAAATACAAAAAAAAGGGCAAGAACTGGGCAAATGTTCTACCTAGTGGCTAATCTATAATTGCCATGTTAATCAAGATCAGGAAAGACACACATAATTACAATATAGATTTTCTCTCTCTCTTTTTTTTAAAGATTTATTTACTTATGCAAATGGAACTGGGGTATAAGACAGAGGTGTTGGGGCGGTGAGAGGCTTCACTGGTGACTGAGTGAGGAGCAGAACAGGAAGACTGATAAAGTACACTGCTGAGGGGAGCAGCGGGCAGGTCAGGAGAGGTCAACCATGCCATGTGGGTCAGCTCTGAGGCAGGGATCGAACTCGTACCCCAGCGGCTGAAGCCAGCTTGCAGTGCTGTGTCCTAACCCGTTGTGCCACCAGGGAGGGCCAATGTAGATTTTCTAAGCATGCGCATTTACCCCAGAGTTTCTACTTCCTTGTTCTGTCAATCTACTTCCCCAACAATACCAGACAAATGGAGGTTAGTTAACAATTAGGGGAATTCAGAAAAGGCAGGAAAAGTCAAGAAACAAAGATCCTAAAGAAAACAACACCTCAGCTGATTTTCAAAGAATAGGTAATTATTGCAAAATGCCCATAATGTGGATTTCAACTCTTACAGAACTTTTCTATTGGCAAACAGCAGTGGGCGGAGATGACATAATGTGTTAAAACAGAAACTCAGTTATGTGTTCAGTTTTAAAAAAGTACTTTGCTAATGAGTGACACAGACCTTTCTGAAAGGTGCCATATAGTAAGGAACATTTGATGATATTTAACAGAGCGAAAGAGCCAACATTTGAACTTTGTTTTATGAGGAAAGCCAGTTTTCAGTTCTCCGACACTGCTGACTACCCTTTACCTAATGAATCTCCACCACTGTTTGAATAAGAAGACTCCAACAGCTCTAAAGAGATATAATCCTGGGCCTCCCTGATGGCATAGAGGTTAAGTCTCAGGGCAACCACCGCAGGGGCCTGAGTTCAATCTCCGCCCAAGTTGCTGATCCCTATGGTGCAGCAGACCGCTCCTGTCTCACCCGCTGCTCCCCTCAGCAGTGTATTTCAGTCAATCTACCTATTCTGCTCCCCACTCTGTCTCTGGTGAATTCTATCCCCTAACCCCGTACTTCTGGTTTACACTTCAATTCTTCTATACACACACACACACACACACACACACACACACACACACACACACAGAGAGAGACAGAGACAGAGAAAATATAATTCCCCCCCCACAACACAACACTCTCTTTGCCCCCCTCAATCTCAGGGGTGCCCACCATACCTACCATAATGGTGTGTTCTGGAAATTTGGCACGGACGAGTTTCACGAATTCCACAAAATGCTCCGAGTACCCATTGGCCACATCTAGGCAAATAAACTTGACCTGTGGCACAGCTTTCAGGATGCTGCTCATCTTTTCCAGATCATTCTTCCCACTGCCTGAGCTCACGGCTATATGCTGTAAAAAACAAACCAGGAGTCAGGACATGAGCAGCTGACCAGGGAAGTCAGCCCTGGGCCACCCTCTCGCCTGTTCTGGAGATGGCACAGGGACCTTTTGTTTGCTTTGATCAAAGAGATCCACAGATCCATTCCAGACCTGCTTGGGAAGCACGGGATAGCTTGGGTAAAGGAGATACAGGCATCCAGTTAGCTAAATCTTGATCCTTTTCTTTCCCCTGATTAAACTGCAGGGGCCCTTAATTGGGACTCCCCCTCCATGTCTTAACAGTAAAGATTCTAAATCATCAAGATGCCTCATCCTTGACTTTTGTTTAATGTCCTCAAGTTCTCTCCATGGAACTCTCAATCGTGGGGCGCTGCTGTGAATGTGCCCCTTGATGGAAAAAAAGGCAGAGGCAGAAGGAATGGGGAGGGGGAGTTAGCAACTCTGGTGCTCATGCCAAGGTGGTAATTGTCTCTCCCAACATCTTGGTAGGAAAGCAGGCGGGGGAGGGAAGATGTCTAAGTCTCCTGATAAAATGCCTTCTATTTTCATTTCCACAGTCCGTGCAGGTCGGTTACAACATGCACTAGAACATATTGCCCCAAGATGTGTCTTTCGCTGAAGCCTCAAGCCCCTCCTCTGTGATACTGGTCCCTGGCAATATCTGGCAACCTGGTAGCACCAATGTCCTCCAACCCGCCCCGCCTCCCTTGAAAATCTGCTCTTTGGGAGTTGGCTTCAGTCATCTCTGCTCTATGAAGCTTCTCCATCAACGAGATGCAGCCAGCAGCTGTAAGAATATTTCTATTTGAACACAATGTAAGCCAGAAGCCACATATTTAACTGTCCGTTGTTATTCCCCCTACATCCACAGTGCTATAACCCACGGAACAAGTGTAAAATGATAGTAACAGAACAGGGTTTCTCCCGGGGAAAGGGGAGCTCCCACATTCCCTGTCCCACCCAAGGGAGGGTAGAGCTGAGCAGGGAGAAGCTAGAGATGGCCTTCCATCAGAGACTTGGGGACATGGAAGGAGACACTTGATAAAGGCAGATGTGGGTGAGAGACTGGCCTGCCCCTTCTTTCCTGTGGGACCCCACCAGGAGGTGCCTCAGACATGTTCCAGGCATTCAGGCCTCAGCAGTCCTGCTAAGGGCCAGCCCTGTTTGGCTGGGCATTTACCCATGAGGGAGTGGGTAAGCTTGGGTGTTTCCTGTGGAACTATATGCCAATTCCTTCCCTACTCTCGCTCTATTGCACACTCATTGTATTAATCTTACTTTCCATGGAGGGCCTTATGCATTAGAGTATGTTTTGTCTTGATGTGGCACATGGTAGAACCTATTTAGAGCAGACAGGCATGGGGGTCCTGGGGGTGGCCCAGCTTTAACTTGAGGACAGTCTGATCAGTACCCCAACCACACATCTCTCCCTTCTTCTAGAGCTTTGCCTCCACTTTATTTTTCTTTTCATTCCTTTTAAAGATGAGCACACGGAACTCCAGATCAGTTAGTTTTTTCAGCGTTGCTGAGTTTCTGACATTCTCCCTTATTAATTAGCCTTTAAGTGAGTGGGGGGCAGGGTAGGCAGTCAAATCATCACACTTGGTGACGAAAGCCAGCCAGGCAATCCACACGCTACCCAGCTCCCTCTTCCCCAAACCTTCCCCGGGAAGGGGCTAAGAGTGAAGTGAGTATAATCTATCTGAACCCCACATGGGAAAATAGCAGACTTGCAACTCAGTCAGAACTATTTTATCTCCAAAACCACCTTCTCACTAATCAAAATCCATAAATAATGACAGCATAGCAATAAAAACAAAAAGAAATGTAGTCCCAAAAAGCAGTTACTGTCCAATCACAGCTGGTGGGTTCCCAGAACAGAACCTCTCCTCACCCTCCAGGCAACTGGGAGGCATCACCAAAGTACCAGGCAGAAAGCAGGTGTGTTCTTCTTTCAAAGCCTACTTCTTTGAAAGTAGGCTTCTGCTACTTTCAAACTTTCCTTTTGTATATAACAACATTATTGAGCTCTAATCACAAACCACACAACTCAGCCACTGAAGCACTGGCTTCATCATCAGTTATTAGTTTATCAGACTGAGCATCCATCACCACAGTCAATTTTAGAACATTTTCACAAACAACTCCCACACTTCTAAGCCCTCACCCCCCAAGCCTCCCATCCCACCAGCTTTAGGCAACCCCAAATCTATTTTATGTCTCTAGAGGTTTGCCTATTCTTGACATTTCACGTAAACAAGATCATGAATGTGGCCTTTTGTATCTGACTTTTTCACGGCACAAGAGGTTTTCAAGGTTCCAACCTGTGTGCTTATGGGCGTAGCAAGAATCAGTGCTTTGTTTTTCACAGTGGAATAATATCCCATGGTATGGCTATACCACTTTTGTTTATTCACTCAACCCTGGGTGGCTACTTGGGTTGTTTCTACCTGCTGGCACCTATGAATCACACTGCTGTGAGCATCTGTGTAAGAGCTTTTTGTGGACATCTGCTGGGTCTTTGCCTCAGACTGGAACTGCTGAGTCACTGGGTAACATATGTTTGGCCTTTGGGAAGAACTGCCACGCCTTTCTCCAATGCAGCTGTACCACCATCTTTCCCTGCCAGCAATCTGCCAGTTTCTCATTTCTCCAGAGCCACACCAACACTTGATACTACCAGATTTTGAGGCAAGCCCTCCTGGTGGACATACTGTTTATTCAACTCCTAAACAAATGGGAATTAGAGGTTTTTTCCTACAGTCAAAATGTAATGGGCTAATTCTGGGAAAAGGGGAGGTCCCAGGTTCCCTGCCCCACCCTAAAGAAGGGTGCAGCTGCAAGAGGAGAAGATGGAGAAAAGGAGGAATGAAGGGAGGTGGTTAAGAAGGAGGCATGTGGAGCAGAGAGGCATGAGGAAGCCATGACGGGAAGGAGGCACTTGAAAAAGACGTGGCTGGCTGAGAGACCGCGAACGCTGACAATGGCAGCCTTCCCTTGACTTGGGCTCTGATTCTGCTCTTTTTCTTCCAGACTGGGCTGGCCCCTTCTGTCCCTTATCTATGGGTCCCCACCTCGAGGTGCCTTAGACTGTGGCAGACTTTTGGGCCTCAGTGGTCCTGCTTTGGGCCAACTGCGTGGCTGGGCACTTGCCCACAAGAAGATGGGTAATTTGGGGGGCTTGATTTGGTAACTCTCTGTTGCACTAATTACTGCACTGCACACTAATTGTATTCAAGTGTTGGTCCATGGATATTTGTATGCACTAGAATATGTTGTATCTTTATGCCGTGAATACTGAATGGATAGCAGAACCCATTTAGAGCAGACAGGGTTGGAGGTCCGGGGGTTCCCCTCCTTAGGCCCTATAAAAAAAGGAGTATGTTCAAACTATATGCCAGAGACATTTTACAGGGGTGGAGTGGGGAAAGGGATCAAAAATGGGAAGGGGGCGTGCACTGGACTATGGTGATGGCACACGGGTGAATTGGTGGCGGGAAGACCCATGGGGATTACAACTGAGATGGGAAAAGGCACAAAATGATGTAAAAGTGAACTATTATGTCAATAAAAAAAAAAGGGCATGTTCAACTGTAGGCAGCCCCCACTCCCATCCTCAACCCCAGCCCTCATGGGAAACACATGTGCGACTCAAGCACTCAGCTGTGACACTTCACCTTTAAAGGCCAAAAAAAAAACAAACCTGACCCCAGATAATCCTTATAAACTATGACACAGAATGGTTTTCTCTGCAAATGCCTGACACTGATGAAATGGGGGTCACCACTGCTTCTCCCCCCACCTCCTCAGCTCTCTTTGAGGACTCTGCATTTCTCTATATCTGCTACACATCCCAATCCCTGTGACAACCCTGTCTATTTCCTCCCCCTGAGCAGATGTAATTCGCTCATTCCTACCTGCAGGCATTCTGGGTGATTTGTGGCAAAGACCTTCCAGTCATCCAGGGTATAGTGCTTATGAATGGCTGTGAACATGGCGTGCTAGAAAACAAAACAGCAAAGTTAGGAGGAGCGATCATGAGCCCTCCCCTACTTCCGCCTGGAGGGATGATCCAAGACAAAAGCTTTGGTATTCCTGCCATTCATGCTTAATTTGTTTTGAACACGTTCCTAGAAGCCAAAAACAGACAGAGGTGTCACCGGTGAAATCACAAAACCGTGTTTTCCATTCTGAGCTGATCAGGCATCCCTGCGTTCAGGATTTAGATGTCTCTGCAAAGCAGGTAGGGCCCCTGAGCTAGGTCAAGAGAGCTCCCACTTGAGAAAGGCCACTCTGAGGCAGACTTCAATTTGGCCTACCCAAAGGAACATCAGTTTACACCTGAAAGCTGTTCTTTGTGATCACAAGCTAAACATTCTTCTTATAAATTAAGCCCAGCAGGCAGCTGGTATTTCTGGGGGAGGGAATTATATAAATTATGATCCCAGATTGCTGACTAGCTGACATTTACTTATTGTCTACTTTGTGCAAGTATTTTGCATACATTGGTTCCCAGAACAAGTTTGCACAGTACTATTATCTTCAAGGGTAGATATGGAGCTTAGCAAATTTAAACGGAACAAAGTTAACCATTGCTTGGCCAGTCCAGGACAGGCCAGCATCACACCGGTCAGACTGTGGGCTCAGGCCCCTACCCTCATCAGGGCCACTCATTTCTCTGGGCCTGTTTCCCCACCTACAATCACCAATTTTCGGGCCACCCACGTGGCCTAGGGGTTAAGTCTCAGTGCTATCAACCTGACGGCCTTAGCTCAATCCCCAGCCAGGGAGCTGACCCACACACAGCACAGCAGATCTCTCCTGTCTCACCCGCTGCTCCCCTCAGCAGTGTTATTTCATATTTCAGTCAATCTACCTGTTCTGGCTCTGGTGAATCCGCTCATCCCCCACACTTCTGGCCTAGACCCCAGTTCTTCTACACAAAAGATATGTATAAAATGTAATTTCTCATTTTGGGAACTTATTAACTTGCACCAATTCTGGGGGCAATAGAAATTAAAGAATCCTAGTGGTTAACTATATCAGGGTTCTGTGTCTCGTCAACAAGGAATCTTTTCTATGAAAATGGGGAGAGCATAGCAAGTTCTGGGTTTTTCATGGACTAATAATCTGACAGGAGACTTCATCAAGGCTACTTACTTACTGCTCCCTGATTCCACCCACTGTTATGCTAACTCCTCATCCATTAGTAGGAATGGCTGCTCACAGAGCAGAGCAAGGAAAAGAGGGAGAGAGGAAATAGAAATTCCTCTAGCAACTTATCAGCCTCAGGCCCAAGCCTCAGTGGGGGCTGAGGGCTATTGGACAATACAAGGGATGGTAGAGGCCGACACCACCCCCACTCCATTTTTTTACCATAATGTGTTTAAAAATCACAATCTAATAATAAACCCCAGCTCCTCCTGCAGTCTAGACTTGCTCACAGGGAAAAGCTCTTTCAACTAATTGGATTTATTTTCTACTTGGCAGGCACAGATTCACACCCTGGTGCCCAAAAGAAGCAAATATTTTACACCCCGGATGTCACATTTCGCTATATGGCCTGTGGCAGCGGGGCTGCAAAGGCCCTTGATGACTTACCCTCTGCTTTCCCAAAGCCAGGGTACTAGCTACTCCATTTATAGGCAATCGGGCTGGTAACTGACTACAAGGGGCTTTGAGTTTGTATTATTACTCATCAAAGTTAATCTGGGAGGTAAATCTCTTACCCTATTGTCAATTTAGAGTTGACTTTTGGTTCTTATGTCTTAAGGCCAGTTACCCACTCTCTCGCATGCCAACTAATTTCCCCCAACTATAAAGGAAGGTCCTAGCAAGTGGAGTTGTGACATCAGATGTATTACATCCAGCGCTTGGCACCTAACTGCCACAGCGCCAATGGCATACAAAGCAGGCCTGTCGGAGTTTCAAAGGCGCCACGACTCTTCCAAAATACAATACTTTTGACTCTCTTTTTTCTCAAATTTATTACTTAATCTTCCAGGTAATTTCCTGATAGAGAGTCTTTTTGTTTTAAAGATGTATTTATTTATTTATGCATACAGAACTGGGGTACAGGCCAGAGGTCCAGGGGATGAAAGGATTCCCCAGAGACAGAGTGGGGAGCAGAACAGGCAGACCGATGAAGCACACTGCTGAGGGGCGCAGCAGGCGGGTCAGGAGAGGTCTGCTGCACCAGGTGGTCACCCCCGGGGCGGGGATCAAACTCGCACTGAAGCAGCAGCCGCCAGCCCAAGGTGCTGCACCCCAACCAGTAGCACTACCAGAGAGGGCCCACTTCTGATTTCTAACAACATCTGATTTCTTTTGATAGTTCCAATTTCCGAACTCTTATGGCCATTTTCAAGGAAGAAATGGATGCAGCTCTAGACCATCACATGGACAGCCTAGACGCTTTGAAGTTTTCATCGAAAAAGGGAGAAAAGGAGGCGCCAGCAACTGCCAGACTCTGAGGAGTTCAGTCACAGAGATGCGCCCCACTCCTGCCCTCGACCCTGGCTTGGGGCAAGTCCCGCCTCAGCTCCTGACAATGTGGCCTGAGTAACAACAGGTGTAACCACTCTACCTGTGCCATCACCACCGCCATCTCGAACGTCCCCACGGTGTCCATGTTGGCCACGATGATGGGGATCCCTGAGTACGTCTGCTTGGAGTTCCGAAACGTGAAGGTGCGCTCCAGCTCCACCTAACAGCAGGAGGGAGAAAGACGTCTCATGGGATACTTGCAGTATTATTTTTAGTTCAGAGGGAGCCTAAGTCTGCCAGGGAGAAGGATATGTCTCTTGGGCCACAGATTCCCTAGGGGTTATTCCAAAGACAGTCAAGCTCTTTTTTTTTTTTTTTTTAAGATTTATTTATTTATGCTTACAGAACAGGGGTACAGGCCAGAGGCATGGTGAGTGAGAGGATTCACCAGAGACAGAGTGGGGAGCAGAACAGGCAGATTGATGAAGTACACTGCTGAGGGGAGCAGCGAGTATGTCCGAAGAGGTCTGCCGCGCCATGTGGGTCAGCTCCGGGTATGCCAGGAATCGAACTCATGCTGCGGTGGCTTCAGAGAGCTTCATACCCTGGTGCTTTAACCCGTTGCTCCACCAGGGAGAGCCCGACAGTGGAGTTCTTAAGGAAACCAGGTAATGGGATGTTGTCCAGAAGCAAAGAGCTTAATTTCCCTCCTTAGGTGTCACAATAGAAGGCACAGGCTACTCCGCCATCAAGCCAAGCCTCAAGCTGAGAAGCTCTCCCCCTTCAGCACCCTCTGTGCCCTGTCTAGTCCTAAGCACCCACATACATGTGATCTTTCCCCACTTCCAGGCAAAGGAGGGAATCATTCCCCCTTCTGGTAAAGTCCAGTCGACTCTTTCCTGCCCACCGTGGTCAACCTTTCACTGTCTCCTTCTACCACATCCAGAAACTGAACAGTGTGCAGCAACCTTTCTACCTGCTCAGCTGTTCACTCCCAGGCATGTATGACTAATTCAGCACAGTGAAAGCAGTGCACTAGGGCCGTGGCTCACCAAGACCTAGCAGAGTCAAAATTATTTCTTTGACCCAGGGCAGATGTCAGGCCTGTGCGTTCACAGATGCACTCCCCCACTCTGGCCCTGCTCGCCTCTAATCACTGGGGGCCACTCCTGCAGGATCCCCTTCCCAGGATGGTTTCTGCCTGGGTTTGGCCAATAGGGTAACTGGGCTGGAAAGTCAAGTCACTGCAGGAGATGAGGGAAAGGAGGCCTGGGAGTAGTCGGGGTGATTCTTCCAGACCCCTGGTGTCTTGTCTCCTGTGACCTAGTTCCAGCTTTTAGAATGACCTCAGTCCAGGACACTAGTAACATCGCTTCCTCCCTTGGTGGGGGGGCTTCTCGCTGTTGCCAACTCAACCTCGAAGGTCCTCTGACTCCGGCCATCTCAGTATGCCTTGTATTCAATTTCCAGTTTTAAAACATCAGCACCCTTTGGTTCCTTGACTGAGGCCTCCTGAATATACACCAAAGTGAGGGTCTCCCCAAAGGAGAACTCATCCCCAAAGGGGTAGAATAGCACAGATATGAATGTACTGCTTCTGAAATAATTTGAGCCTACGTTAATCCTAGCTTCCTGGGCACACTAATAATAGCATTCTTTTATTCTTTTACATATGCGCCAACTTTCACTCTGCACCACAAACACAGTAGGCCATTTTGCCTTTCCTGGTCTGTGTCTTCTCCCCACGGAGCTCCTGTCCAGAAGGCCTCCCGTGCCTGAGACGTAATGACGGAAACTGCTCTGGCTTCCAACTGCAGCCAGCCAGGGAAATGAGGCGTAGTAAACTGCATGATCTGTGCGGCCACCCGTTCCTTTTCCACTTCCTTTATTTCAAGTCTCAGTTCTCCTTCAGAGAAGTGAGTTATTTCTATACCCTGAAAAATAACTGAAAGGGTCGATCAGCTGCAACCTTCTGTGCTGCTAATCGAACCTCTAACATTTTGGCTTCACAGGTTTAAAATTAATCAGATTCCTTGGTCTCAGGTTACATTTACTATTCCCAAGATGCAAGGACAGAGCTGCTATCTCACAGCGGGTTTTTCTGGCACCCCGAAACCTATCAGCCCTACACAGAAAGCCCGCATCCCGGAAGAAGCCGGCCTTGGCAATGAACTCTCCCCTTCATGTCTAGCTTTCTCTACACGGTGGATTCTTCACCATTCTTAATTCTACGAATGAGAAATAAAATTATCTTCCCCAACCTTATCTTTCCACACACACACACATACATACGCATGACTAGATGTTCACTGAGACAGATAAGTATTTTCAGCAGTTCCACCTCCCAGGAACAAAACTTGGCATTAATCCACCACAGCTGGTGAATGCACCAAAGAAAGCACTCAAATTCCCACTCTGCTAAGCCTGACTTAAAACAGAACAAATCTCCCCTAGCCCCCCTGAAACGCGCCGTGTTTCTGCTTCTCTGTAAACATGCCATGTCAGTCAGTCCTCCAGCACCACACGAGGGAACCCAAAAGACCCAAGGGAGCCCAGCTACCACATCCTAAATACTTCAGTGTTATGAGTCAAGTTACCAAGCTGCTATGTACAATTTGTTCCTTCCACCCACCTTGGCAAACACACTTTCATGAACCACCTGGAAAGCACTGGAACATGGTGTCATGGGTACATTAAGCCACAGCACACACACACACACAAACATGGTGTCATGGGTACATTAAGCCACAGCGCGCACACACACACACACACACACACACACACACAGAGTCCTGGATAGTCTGAGGTTTGAGGAACAGAGGAACACAGTGTCATGGGTACATTAAGCCACAACACACACACACACACACACACACACATACATTGAGCCACAACACACACACACACTCTCTCTCTCTCTCTCCTGGTCAGTCTGAGGTTTGAGGAACAGAGGTATGGAGGCCCCAGCACAAACTCGCATGGAGAAGAGACCCAGGCAAATCTTTCCATGAGTTCCAAGTCATCTGAGCAGCAAAAATTCAGGAATCTGAGTCTTAGGAAATGGAGGTTAGCAGTGCCCACCAGTTTGGTGCAGTGTTGACAGGTACCAAAACTGGTACCACCTGGTGGGCACACCCGGGCTCAGGGCCTCAGCCCCTTTTGCCTGGATCCACAGATGGTACTGATGAAAGTGATTCCCTTGCTAAATCTAGTAATTCATTATCTGTCTCCCCTATCGATGCACGTCTAAGGACAGGGTCAAAGTGTGAGGTACTTTTTGTAGTCAAAAATCAAGGTCTGGCTAAGGGCAAAAAATAACCCTTATTTGGGCCCCAAAAGTTTTCCAGGGTGACATGGGGTTGCAGGGGACCTGACCAGCCCTGGAAGCTTCACCTTCAGTTGTCAGGGTGCACAGGGAAGCCTGTGCACAGTTGCTCCGAAGCTGAGAAGCTGGGTTCAATGTGGAGGGGCTTCCCTGGCCAGTCCAAGGTATGTGTGTGCATCTCACAACACCACAGCTTGATTTGCAAAATACTCATCCCCCACTATTAACAAAGCAGAACTTTGCGTGGGAGACTGTGTTTGTTGGCGCATCTCCTAGGTGACTGATGTACTCACTAGGAGCAAGTCTAGCCAGTCAGACCCTCTGTCTTTACAAAGCAAAACTTCCAGAGGCTGTTACAGTTTTTTGCCGGGGGAAAGGATGTTCTCAACAAACCCCACCAATAGGTTTATGGACCCCATCCCACCCCAGACCAAAGAGATCTAAGACACCAACGACTAAAAATCCCATAATGCCCTCACCACCGAAGAGGGGGTTGCTGGGAACTGACGGTGGTTGAGCAGCCAGGTCTGGTCTAAAACTAGATATGTGGGCCTGGGGGGGGGGGTCTTTGGTTTTTCAGTGGTTTTCAGCATGCTATTGGGGTTCTAGCTCAGAACTGGTAGGACACATTTTTCTCTCTCTCAGCATTATTCCTTTCTTCAGTTCTCCTTTTTTATTAATGAGCCTTTTATTAACCATTCTAATTTTTTTAAAGATGTATTTATTTATGCACACAAGAATTGGGGCACAAACCAAAGGTGCAGGGAGTGAGAGGATCCACCAGAGGCTGAGTGGGGAGCAGAACCGGCAGACTGACCAAAATACACTGCTGAGGGGAGCAGTGGGCAAGACAGGAGAGGTCTGTTGCGCCAAGTGGGTCAGCTCCCTGGCCAGGGATTGAACTTGCACTGCAGTGGCTGTGGATAGCCTCACAGTGCTATGCTTTACCCATTGCACCACCAGGGAAGGCCTTTAGCAACCATTCTGTGTGTGCCTGGGTTGAGTCTCATTATAAGTCCCTTTTAAGCATGCGGGTGAGGAGCCACAGTCACGCCACCCATTTCACATAGAGGTTGCCCCATACATTTTGAATTGCATGTCTCCAAAAAGGTGATGTGGTCCTGATTACAAGTAACTGTGCAGATGGCCTTACTTGGAAATAGGGTCTTGGTAAATAAGGTCATGAGGGTGGGCCCAATTCCAACATATCAAAGTTAGAATAATAGAGAAAATTTGGGAACTCTTATGGTGCAAGGAATTGAGTCTCAGCACTATCACGCTATCAGCACCCGATGCAACATGAATTCCATCCCTGGCCAGGGAGCTGACCCACATGGCACAGCAGACATCTCCTCTCTCACCAGCTGCTCCCCTCAGCAGTGTACTTCGTCGATCTGCCTGTTTGCTCCCTACTCAGTCTCTGGTTGAGTCCTCTCACCTTCCCCCCCTCCACACCTCTGGCCTACACCCCATTTCTTGTATGCATAAATAAACATCTTTTGGACACAGAAACACAGAAAGGGAGAAAGCCATGTGCACATGAAGGCAGAGATTGGCATCATGCATCTGCAAGTCAAGAGACACCAGTGATCGCGTGTAAACAACCAGAAATTAGAGACCTGGGAACGATATTCCCTCCCAGTGCTCAGAACAAACTAGCCCTAACATTAGCCCTAGCTAACGTCATGATGTGGGACTTCCAGGCTCCAGAAGGGCAGACAATCAACTTCTCTTGTCTAAACTACCCAGCGTGTGGTACTTTATCACAGCAGCTCCAGGAAATGAATGCAGTGTCAAGGTAATGAAATAATTAGTGCAGAACCTGGACTAAACCCCACATCTTCTTTTTCCCAGCCTGTCATCCCCTCCACTCGGCCAGGCTCTCATCCACTTTGGTCTACCTGCTGTGGATGACTGAGGCTGGACTAGATTCTTCTCCCTGGAGCACTGGCAAATAAATAACTAGAGTTTTCAGGAGACTGAATATTCATGCAGAGTCTTCCTGCCGTTAGGACAAGTGGTCAGTTTTCTGCTACAAATTCTCTTCATTGGCCCACTTTCAAGGTTGAGGTTGCATTAGTAAGTTAAAAAAAGAAAGAAAAAAACTTTCTAGCTTAGAGATAGAGTGGGGGTTCAGTGGAAGAAGATGGGAAGTTACTAGGGCTTTGGAGGTGGGCGTGGTGGTTCCAGGCAGGTGTAGGGGTGTGAACCCACACTTGTGACATATACAATGTTGTAAATCAATGTTATTCATTAAAACATTATAAAAAAAAACAAGATCGGGGGCCTCCCTGGTGGCATAGGGGTTGAATTCTCGACACTATCAAGTTATTGCCAGCCTCTGAAGCATAAGTTCAATTCCCCAGCCAGGGAGCTGACCCACATGACAAAAGCAGATCACTTCTGGCTCCCCACTGCTCCCTTCAACCATGTACTTCGTCAATCTGCCTGTTCTGCTCCCCACTCACTCTGTCTCTGGTGAATTGTCTCGCCCCCTGCACCTCTGGCTTAACAGTTCTTGTATGCAAAAATACATAGAAGTAAATCTTCAAAATGTAACCAAAGGCCCTCCCTGGTGGTGCAGCGGGTTAAAGCACAACACTAAGAAGCTTAAGCCAATTCCACATGAGTTCAATCCCCGCCTGCTCCGGAGGTGACCACATGGCGTGGCAGACCTCTCCTGACCCACCCGCTGCTCCCCTCAGCAG